CTCTCGGGAGATTGCCGGCCTTTTCCGAGAGGAGGACACGAGCGTAAATATTTTGGTTCCTATACCAAGGATCGAAACCTCTGGCATGATAGATCAGTGCGCTGCCTACCATGCCACGCTGACGCTCGATCTCAAATATGATCTAATAGATTCAATCAATAATGTACAATGCGTTAATTAATATAATAATGATTTTGAATTGGGAAGTTGAGGTAATATTTTTCGCAATAAATTATCTACAGGTTTTAAGATGCTTATTAGCTTCACTATTAAAATGGACGATCAATCTAATTTGAGATATTAATTTCAGTTCGTGATTGCGTTTCAAGTCCAACAGACCTTATCGACGCGCAGTTCATAAAACTGAAATAATATGTTTACAAAAAAATTTAGTGTTATTAAGTTATTAATTTACTTAGTGTTACTAACAATAAGATCAAAGCTCGTTCAATTGTGACCTGAGTTGTTCCTATTTAATTTGTTTGTGTCTACACGAGTGAAAAAAAGAAGTGATATTAATTATCAATTATTTTGTAATATAACAATAACGTTTTAATTAAATGTCTAAGGCTTGATTGCACCATTACTTTGACTTTAAACTTAAAATTGTCTTTCTCATGGCTTTAAAAAAAAAAGAGAGTTTTAAACCTCGCTTAAAGTCAAAGTAACGTTGATGCAATCGAGTCTATAAGTTGAATTCTATAAGAACTCCACGTTGTTTCTTCGTGAAAACTACTCTAATCTGTAAACTACTATTTCATAAGTACAGATTGCACAGCTTTCATACAAAGCAAATGTTGTCACGACGTAACAGCTCTAGAGCGCCATATTGGACTAAAGAATGGTAAACAAGATCTCATCAATTTCGAAATTTTTTGTCGTTCTTAGTATAAACTCCACTTTACAAATATGTATTAATGCGTATACTTTAATCCTGGAAAAGGATTTTCGAATCTGTAAAGGAGGAAAAAAGTAATTGTTATACAAAAATTATATGGTTTAGTCGGTAATACAGATGGCTTTAGGAAGCTGTCAAATAAGCCGATGTCTTATCTGACGAACAGCATCTTGAGCTGCAACGCGCAGCGAAAATGTATGTCTTCAAGACACGGCGAAACTTTACACCGACAGCTGATACCACTTTTCTTAGCTCATGCATACTTTATATCTTCTAATAGTGTTTCGTGAAGCTTATAGCGTATATCGTGTATGAAATGTGACGTTGCATGAGAATGCACCCGTTTAATGTAATAATAAACATGGCGCGTCCTAAAATGAACGAGCATAATAACAACAAGAGATTACATAACATGGGGCATAAATACAATTACGTTGAAAAACGACTAGAAGCAAGCAAGACTTTTTTATTAGTAAATTTTTTGAATAAAATTTACAAAATACACATTATCGCTTGTATATAAAAGCTTTTTTTTTCTTTGCTTTGTTTTATCATAATATTTTCAGTACTGAACCGTAATGTCACATTTGATTCCAAAGCAAGTCATTTTAAAAAAGTGAGATTTAACTCCGATGCAAATTAATCCCAGAATCTATTTTATTGCATCAAATATTACTGCAAAATAATTAAGTAATTTTCGTATAGAAGAATGAATTAATTAATATCTGATTAATAATCAGAACATATATAATGAATACTTAATCCGTGATTGTATAATTTTTGCCTGTTTAAAATATTCTTCCAAATAAATGGACTCACCTTGTGCGAATTCAGAATCCGAACGGTCCAACTTATAGTACCAAATCGATCGATCATAGATTGCACATGAAAATTCTAAAATCGATTTACACTTTAATAAAGCTAATTTACCGATTCCACATGTGCGAGATCACCTATGTGATTCCACAAACGCGAACAAAACTCGCGAGCGATCAGCGAGTCGATTCGTTCTTTTTTTTTACTACGATTGTCCTCGCAGGAACGAAACCGAACGAACTAATCAAAATTTCGACATGATCACGGCGAGCATCGCTCGCGAACTGAATATTCTTACGGGGGTGAAAGCGTCAAGTGGAAGTGAACCACGGATGCTGGAGAGGGTAAATGGGGCAAGAGGGGTCGAGAGAACGCGCGTGTAGGAGAGAACGATGGGGTGGGTGCGAAGGGTGGTTGGGGATACTGCGAGGGGTTGGACGATGCTATTGCCGCGCGCAAAGATCGCCAAGTTAGTCGAATGGTTAATCTTCACGAATTGCTGATATGTTTCATTTTTTTTAATTTTTCAAATAGTCGAAGCATTTTTTGCAGCTAATCACTCATATAAATCGTAACAGAGTTCTTTAAAGTTGATATATTCTCAACAAAAATCTAAAAATTTTTATATTTCAGAGCTGTTAAATATTATTCTATATCTAATCAAAATCAAATTTTACAATAAAAATATTTTAATTTTAATATTAAAAAAATATTTAAAATTATAAATATGAAAGACAGAAATATTGCTGTTTAATTCATTAACGTCTAGATAGATGCATTTTTTAATTAATTTTCAGCAGCCTGTTATGCTCTTGAAAAAATTCAAACGTCATTTCTGATGTAAAATTTCTTGCTCTTTCAGAATCTGCCATCAAAAATAAAGTAAAAAAGAAGTTACAACTGATTTTTGGGAAAAATCATGATTTTCTATTCTAATTTTTTTAAATCGATATTTTTACATCGAAACAGCATTAGAATAATCTTGAGAAGTCAAAAAAATATTACGTCCACAAATCCTAAACTTGAAAACGTGTGCTTATGTATATATACTCATCTCAAAATTCATGATAGTATAAGTATAAAATTTGTCGTAGCTGATAAATTTTTAGCTTTTATAAAATGCTTTTGTGACATTACTTTTTTTAACGCCTTTGAAGTAGTGTCGGCACCAGAGGTTCTAACATCTGACTTGCTGACTGTAGCATTTTCATTTTTATCCTAAATACAATCAAATTTGAAAAAACTAGTTTTTATAAAATAGTCACGATTTTTTTACGCGGTCTCCCGGACTATCAGCTTTAGAGCATATTTTTTTCCTCGACTATTCAACCGTCATTCTCCACTAAAGCGGCAAATTTCGGAGTCTCTAAGAGTTCGCGGTATGATCGTAAGCGCGACCTACATTATGTAACTCGATTGTAGGTACTGAAAGCTGCTTCTACAGACTATTTTCCACAGTGCACGCGCAATTTTTCTTGATTCATCGTTAATGTCAGTATAGCTATGAAAAATCGCGGCGCACTAAAATTACTTCCCGACTGCGAATCGATCTCTACGAATTTTCGAAGAGAAAATGGAAGCACGTGCTTCGCTTCGATAAAATCGTCTTTTAAATATTGACGAGAGGCGAATTAAACCTTCTCGATGTGATCAGGAAGGATCACTCAATCGTACACAAAATAATCGTGGCAATTATATATTCAGATCTGCCATAATACTTTGCCAACATGAATTTCTGACCGGTCGAACGTGACGTTTCGTTAAACCAGGAATATTTCATAAGACGATGCGTACCAGGAATTATTCAATATCCGCGAAATCCTTTGAAGTTCTCCGAACTGTCGGCTGCCTCCTTTAAAAGCTTCTCTCGTTTCTTCTTCTCCGTCTATCATGTTCCGTTCTTTTCCATCATACTTCTCTTTCTATTTCACGGGATATATACCTCGATGATCTCGTCACTAAGAAAAGATATTACGACAGGCGCGTAAAAACGCGAATATTTCACGGAAGAAACCGTCTCGATTATGGAATAATTTAAAGGACGAGTACATCGCTGATAATAACGTCTATTTGCATTTAGAGATGAAACTTCGCTACACATAAGTCCGAGAAAAAATAACATTGCGTATTTCTGAGGTCTTTGGTTGACGATTGAGAAGACTCAAAACAACATCATACAGCAAGAATTCGATAAAATAAAATTTTAATGGAATTTTTTAGTTACGTATATTATAAATCTTTAAAAATCTATATTTTATTACAATTATCACGTTCTGAAAAAACTTAATGTGTGCGTTTTGGATCAAAATGTTTGAGTAACGGAAAAAAAAATATTTGAGTAATGTGGAATCAGAAAGGTGAAGCATTTCGAAGGATGCGCAGTAGTCAATAAAATAGTGGAAGTTTAGCCATTCAAACGCCAGCGGCAATGTGAAAAACAAAGTTGGCGAAATGTCATTTATTCAAACGTCAATAGCAGTTGAAGAAAATCAGTTTTATTAATTTATTTTATTATATATATTCGATCATATATTTATTTTATTAATCATTTTTATATTACGGTCTTTCCTGTGTTAGCGTAAATAATTCCACCATGACCAACATGATCTTGAAATGCATGATGCCACTGACGTCTGATTGGTTGAAATTCGAGCGATCCATACCCCATCATGTGCTTCACTTTTCTAATTCTACACCAAGGAGTAGACAACAATTCTATATGTATATTTTATGGGCGATATTTATAGCCCGTTCTTATTTCAAGATTGTCTTAAGTAATGTCTTAAGATGCTAATACGGCCCTCTTGGTTTGTGACTTCTTAAGACTGTACTTAAGATGGTCTTGAATATAAGAATCGACTATGAATACCGCCCCGTAATATTCTATAGACTTGTTCGCGTCATAAGCTTCAACATGCTCCAATATGCTCCTGCCATAGCTCCTACTCACTCTATCAAGCGCGTTGGAGTGAGTAAGAGCTATGGTAGGAGCATATTGGAACATGTTGGAGCATGCGCGACGCGAACAAACCTTATATAGATAGTCTGTGACAATATTTGAAATATACATATATGACTGGAGTGAATATGTCTCTTTTTGTAGTGCAAAATTGGTTAAAGCAAATACATCAAAGTACATGTGTCATGTGTATATGTTACATACTTTCAAATGCGAATGTATAAAATACCGTCAGATTTGTTCATTAATATAATATACATGCAACAGAAACCAATAAGAAATTCAATCTCAAATACAATTTGATGCATACAAGCCGTATTGGTACAAGTGGATAAAGCGAACGTTATTATATCGTATGCAACCTATTTCTGAAGATGAACCAATTGCATCCACTTCCGCAGATGCTCAAGAATCGAATAATAAACAGATACGAGAGAAGTAAGTGAATCTCGACGTACGAATGATTCTAGCACCTTAATATTTTTATACTTAATATGATTAATATCTAAACAGCAATCCTCGAAACAAAACCATTTCCATTTAGCTGAGCAATCGCGAAACATATTGATACTATATGTTTTAAATTATATAAGTCATTAAACATAGAATTACGCATTCTAGATCGATGCAAACAGCGGAGGAGGAAGACGAAGACGAAGAACGTGATGATAATACTTGCTGTCACCGTGCAACTTTCTGCAGCCCAATGTTACGAGAGATTCTCGTGACCGATGTAATCTTCACGTGTTTCGAGCTACAGCTAACATGGGCGGATCTCTTCTGGCTCGCGACTGTGAGCGGCATGACCCTCCTGACCTGGGCCGTTTTATACTTCTTGCTGGGTGACATGGTACTACCAGGCGGCAGTATATTTGGCCTTTTCATCCTTGTCATTTTTTCTTACGCACTCGGTTGGACCCTTGCTTACATTCCTCGTCTGAACCTTCCGCCCATTTTTGGCATGCTTCTTGCTGGTGTAATAATACGTAATACCGATGTCTACAATATATACGATGTGATCGGGCCGGGCACGACCTCCAAAATCAGAACCTTCTGCTTAACCTTCATCATGGTACGTGCCGGTCTGCAGCTGACAACAACCGCTCTGAGGGCGCATCCGGTGTTTGTAATGATTCTATCGCTCGTCCCGTGCACTATCGAGATGTTGACGGTCACTGTCTTATGCAAATATCTTCTCGAATTCCCATGGAATTGGTCTTTCATGACGGGGTGAGTTAACACCGCAACTATTTTTAATCCATCAAGATACTCATGAAAATCCATGATTAATGGAAATTCTTGTTTATCAAATAATTTGAATTCTAAACATACGCAAGATTTCTCTAATTTTACATTGTTTGACCAAAAAATAATGTTTTTTTATACAAACAAACTACTAATTTAGGTAATTATGCAGTTAATTATGCAATTATATTATTCACTCTAGAGTTGTCAAAATGTCAAAACTTTTTGCAGGATTACTATCACAATCATACTTCAGATTCTTAATTAATTATTTTAACAGTGCAACATTTTTTTCAGATCTATATTTAGCTAAATTTTTAGATATTTCGTAAATATTTTTTAGATATTTTGTTAAAAGCATTTCTTCCATGCAAAATATTGATAAAGATATGTTATATCTTAAAAAATTTAGGACAATAATCTAGATTAACAATTGTATAATTATTATATTATTAGAAAAATACAAGAATTATATAGTAAATTTTTTTCAAGATCGATTGTGGCCTGCATGTCCCCTGTAATAACGATCAGTTGTATGCTCACCTTAGCTGAACAGGGGTACGGAGAAGATAAAGGACTCATCAGCTTGCTGTGTACTGCAGCGTCCATTGACGATGTCCACATTGTGGCTTTGTTTTCTATCTGCTTCTCTTTCGTTTTTAGCAACGGTATACAGAAATCGTAAGAAAAACGTAATAATACATTGGCAAATTCACGTAGTTTTTTTTATCGTATAATTAAAACATTATTGTTATATGAAAAAATTCATGTGCATGCGTGAGTGAGATATTGATGTAGTATATATAGTAGTATATATAAGGCTGGGCATGTATTTGAAATACTTTTATTTGAAAAACAGTATTGGTAAGACAAATATATTTTGTATTTTGTTTTGTTCAGAGTACATGAAAATATTTTGTATTTCATGGGAGCATATAAAAGTTTCGTATTTTGTATTTCGATATTAATAACAAAAGATTGAAAGTATTTTGTATTTTGTATTTTAAATACTAACATTGACAATCAACCTTATTATTTCAATTACAAAGTACAAAAATCTTTCAATCTTTCGATTTTAAATCCAAAAATACATAATACTTTTATGTGATCTGCTGAAATAACAAATACAAAATATGCTTGTATTGTAAATAATGTATTTTAAATAAAAGTATTTCAAATACATGCCCAGCCCTAAATATATATATATATATAATTAAAAGGGAAATATTTAAAATTTTCAACAAGAAATAGAAAATATTAATAAGAATTTTGATAAAATTGATTAGTTTTTCTGTAGATATTAATTTACATTCAGATTATAATTTCAATAAAGGAAAAGTAAAAATCGCTATCAAAGATCATATATCTTCACTAAATCATATTCTGACACTTACTCCACGAATTACGGTATTAATGTAATAAATATTTCATAACTTCCACGATTAACACATTAACGATTTGTGACTTCGAGCAAGCTGGTGGCGAGCTATACAAAAAAGTCTAAACGTACAAAGAGCTTTCCATAAAGCGAGCCATACATCTTCCTAGATGATGGAAGAACAGAGTGGTGGTCCTATATCCCCGGCGGGATTCGAGATTTTCTTCTGGGACTTATAGTAGGAATTATCTTGGGCTTTGCCCTGGTCTTTTTCCCTCATCGCAATCACGTAGGTACCTTATTCATTTTCTCGCGTCCAAGAGCTTGCAAAATTCAGGTCACGTATTGCGAGAGCACGTTCGTGTAATCTGAAATAACAAGAGCAGACTTATTAACGCCTATTTTTATGATATTTTATTAAAATATCACTTACGTTGCGGTACGCGAATAAAGTTTACGGAAATGAAGAGAGCTTATCATTTCTTTATTCGATTATATGTATAATAAACAGGGTTGAGTAAGTTAACTTTTTTTTTAACTAAGTTAAGTAAATTAACAGCCTTGAAAATTTAACTTAGTTAAGATAAAAATTAATCCATTAATTGAATTAAAAGTTAAGTTAATGAAAAAAAAGGAATTGAAAAGTTAAAAATTAAATTTGTTTTATTTCATAATTTCAAGTTGACTTTTTTTAAATTAAATTAAAAAACTAAATTAAAAAGTTAACTAACAAGGAGGGACTAGCATATATATTTCACGAATTTTGATCAGCTTTTGCGTGATTATTCTGGAGCACTAAAAAATAATCCCTGTAAAACAGTAAATTGCACTTCTACGTATTTTTCGAGAAAATTGTGATTTTTGGATTGGTCATGACGATGGATCGCTTTCAAACCTCTTTGTTTAAATGAATGACATATTTAAAATTATTTAAAATTAGAAAAATACATCTCTGACGGACATGAATATATAAGCATATAATCCGTATAATCAACTATTATACGTCAACTACCCAATCCTGATGTTAACTATTAAAAAATCAAATTAAAAGTTAATAGTTACCAATAAAATATAACTATATAAAGTTAAAAAGATAAAATATAACTAAAGTTAAGATATAACTAGTCTAAAATGTAACTAAATGAAATTAAAATTAATTAATTTTTTAATTTTTTAACTTAACTTTTAACTTTTTAAGTTTTAACATTACCCACACACAAAAAACCTTGGTAATATAAATATAGTACTCTACTATAATAAATACATTATTCTACATACATAATTCTTAATCGTCACATAATTTATTCATCACATTTTAAAAACATACCTCTTTTTTATGTTGGACCTTAGAGATATTCAACGTGGTATCGCATTGGTGGTTTAACTGTCGCGTCTTTAATGTGCACCACAGCAGCCTCAAAATTAACGGTCACAGGTGGAGGATATCTCGCTACTATTATATTATCATTCATAGCCGTCCGTGGTTGGCGAATCTTAACGATTTCGTATGATGTAGGTAATAGTAGATACGTTGTATGCAAAGAAATGGTTTTGCTAAAATATCTAAAAATTTAGCTAGATACAGATTTGAAAATAATTTTGTTTAGATCATCAAAATAATTATATAAAACGTTCAAACTGATTGCTACAACTTTGTTAAAATTTTTCACGGCATTGACGTCACGCTCAAGTTTTTAATAAAACCATTCTTTTCGTACATACAATGGGTTAGAATTTTTCTCGGAATTAATATTACACTTTTCGTTCAAGTTGATATTCTGTATATAAAAGAAACATAATCATAAAATATTATTAAAAGAAACACAATCATAAAATTCTGATATCATACGTGAATACGTAATTATGATGTACGATGCGATATTGGTATGCCGTAAATCATCAATGATTCACATAGACCTGCGATCACCTTTCTATTTAAAATATCGTGTATCATCACTTTAATAATTATTAAAATAGATGTTAATCTTTAATTTCTTATTTTATATAAAAATGATCGATTAATAGAAAAATATTAACAAGATAGACACAACAGTTAGAAGATATTCAGCTTTAAAAGTTGCAATATTTTGTAAGGACTGTCCCAACAAACAGTATTTATATTTATTCTATTTATGTTTTAACATAAAATATTGTCATAATTGTTTATTTTATCGTTTTACTCATGAAATGCTTATTAATTAAATACTTATTTATATTAGTAAATATTTTTATATAAGGTGTTTTAAATTTTAGTAAATTTCTTTTTTTATTCTGCGTTGCATTTTGTACTCTAGGTCTTCTTGTTTAGAATAATAATTTTTGTAGTTTCTATAATCATTATGAAATACATTTTATATTAGATTATGAAACACAAATATAACAACCATACCGTATGAGCTACCGATGTAAACAACAAATCACGTAAAATTGGACCAACGACGGAACGTGTTAATATGTGTCTTTTTTCATCTTTGCTAAAAATTAAAGTTTCATATAAAAAAATTAATTTTGATTATTCTCTTTATGTTGCAGACAACACCTTTTCACAGAGCGTTTTATTTTTTATGGCATTTCGTACAACCGATTTTAGGAGGCGTGATTGGTGCTGATATTGATTTTAGAAACTGGCCTATATCCAGATTCGGACTTTATCTCATTTGTGTACTCATGGGAATATCCGTAAGTTACACGTGTCGAACGAGACACGAAAAGTGAATATTAGTTTACGACATTAATTAGGGAAAAAACATAAATGGGATAGCAACATGTATATAAATTTTATACTTAAAATTAATGTACAATTGATTAAACCTTTTTATAGTTATTGCAACCATAAAATGTTTTATAATTTAATTATTTACTTTAATTTTGTACATAATTGTATAAAACTTATACAGGATGTTCCAAAAGTCTGGATATAATCGAATATTTCAAAAACAAATGCAATTTCGAATAAAAGGTTTAGACAAAGATTGTAAGACTTAAAATTGAAGGCGTGAAATTGACTTTCTTAAAATTAATTAGTTTATAACTTTTAAACTAGAGGGGGATAAACGTTTGCAAAAAGATAATTTTGGATTTTTTAATATTGGGGGGCTAACCTCACATAGTTTTATTTGACTTAGTTTAGAATAAAACTTGAATTTTAATTCTTTCGCAATAATAATGTTTCTTTATTATATTATATATCTCATAAATAAATATACTTTACAATGCTGCAAAAAATTTCATACAATTTTCTAAGTTTAGGTGCGCAGTACTACTGCCTTTTTAACAACGATTCGAATGCCTTTTACTTGGAAAGAACGACTCTTCATCGCCATAGCTTGGGTACCAAAAGGGACTATGCAGGTAAAAAGAGTTTTTTTTTTCCATTTCCACGTGAAATAACGATTTCGTTGAAGTATGTAAAAATTACACTAGATACAGATCCGAAAATAAATATATTGAGCCATCAAAATAATTATTATGTAGAACGCTCAAGCATGATGATGATGCTGTAAAAAGTTGCGACATTCTAACAATCCGCCTGAGCGTCTATAAATAATAATAACTTAATAGATAGTCATATCTAACATAATTTTTGTTAGATTTATAATGAGCTAAAGTTTTAAACACTTCAGTAAAACCATTCTTTCTGTGCAGTAAATTCTCTATCGAAAATCTAACAAAATTAATAATTCGATGAATGTTGATATTTCGAAAATTAGGCAGCATTAGCGCCGATGGCATTTGAACGTGCCAGAAAAGAAGGCGATCCCACGAAAATAGAATTAGCCCTCGACGTGGTGAGGATATCCGTAATTGCCATAGTATTTCTAGCGCCACTTGGAGCAATCGGCATGATGACTAGCGGTCCCTATCTCCTAAACAAGATTAATATCGAGGAACACCGAAGAGAGCGGGAATTGAGCTACTTGCGCATCGTCGCTCTACAACCTGTTAGAAGGCGTAAAAAAAGAAAGAAACCAGCTCATGATACTATTACGACTCTCTGATCGCCAATAGACTCTGTAACATTAAATGTAGATCGTGCCACGTATTAAATATACATTCAATGTCCTCGAAAAATGCTTTTATTTCTATGTCGCTGTTAATTTCTTATTACTTCAAAAATATTGTAAAAAATATAAATAGAGTAGGCGGCGGATTCAAATATTATATATAGGTACTTATAATATTTTAAACGGGAGAAGATCGTAATTTGAAATAATCAAATTTCATTCATCGTTGTCCCTTTTTGATATCGCGTCGAATGGTTTTCCTATTATTCAATATTATTATTTTGTATTGTAAAAGGCTATATATATTGTCATGGAGATCATAATATGTATTTTAATACGGTCAACGCGATGCTAATAATTGCTTTAAACGTTTTTTAATTGGTCAATATGTAAAATCCTTTCTTCTGATTGGTCCATCAAACGCTTCAAAGCATTTAGTTAAAGTTAGCCGCGAGCACATAGAGGCCCGTATTCATAGTCAGGCCTTATATTTAAAGGCCATCACACGTACAAAAATTTTAGTCGTAATCGTAAGGTCGCAAACAAATCGACCAATCACAATCAAAATTAAGATCTCGCGCTTTTAAACGCTCGACTGTGAATGGGCGATTTGCCTACGGCCTTAAGCCTTGTGTCCACGATGCTAGAAATTGGTCCGAGATCTCGGGGAGAGAAGAAAGAATTAACCAATTACATTTAAACAATTTAGTCACATGATCAATGCGATTGGTCAGTTCTTTCTTCATCCGAGATCTCGGACAGATTTCTAGCATCGTGGACACTGGGCTTTACAATTACGACTAAAATTTTTGTATGCGTGTGATGGCCTTAAGGAATTAAGCCGCCGTGTTGCCACCAGGTGGTAAGATTCTAGCTTCTAGCTGTAGCGCTGTACTCCGTGGAAGGATTCGGAAGGAGACAAGTCACATAACCACATTTATCAACGAAGAAGTGTAAAACACACGTTGTTGAAAAACACTCTATATTTCTTCGAAACACTTTTATATCATTTGCAAATATGGTTCGCAAAAAAAGGTAACAGCTAAAAAAATTTATCAATAAAGATTAAAATAAAAAGATGACTATATCCTTGAATAAAGTTTGATTAATTTAATTATAATAATAAAAGTTGAATACAATATTAATTAAGCAATTCCATTTGAAAGATTAGAATAAGTGATGTGTTGGATTAATTTTATTTTTTAATATTTATATTTTGAAAATTTTATACATCAGGGCATTCCAAAACATCCTCTCAAAGGAAGATTTTACTCTTTATATTATAATATGTTATATGTTTGGAATAATATTTTTGGAGTAAAATTTTCCTCAGAGATGTTTTGAAATGTACTCCAGAATACTTTAATTTTGATTGCACGCTCATTCTATACTATTTTATGAAAATGAAATATTTCTATTTATGAATTTATTTCTATCCATGTTAGAACAAGGAAACCTCTGATTAAGGAGAACACTGATGATATGGAAGACGATATTGAAGATGTGGATATGAATGATGTGACAGATTCAGAAGAAGAATATACAGAAACTGAAAAGAAATTGTTAGAAAAAGTAAGGAAACAGCGTACTATTGAAAATTTTGATAGTGACGATGAAGTTCTTGGTCTAAAAAATGACAATGAGGAAGAATCAGACGATCAACAAGATTCAATGGAATCTGACATCGAAGGGATACAAGAAGATTACGATATGCCAAACGACAGAGCCTGGGGCAGCAAAGCAAAAGCTTTTTACTCGTCAGATTTTAAATATACAGATTATGCATCGGCGCCTCAAAAAGATTTGATTAATGCAGAGATGGAAGAAGAAGAAGGAAAAAGGCTGCATTTAAGAGCAATGGGACAACATTTAGCTCTTGATGGTTCAAATTTGAATAAAAACAAGGTAGCTGAAATTATAGAAGACAGCACAGTTGTTCGAGAGGACAGAAAACAAGTGTCTGACAAGGAATCTTTTATGATTATGATCAATACTTTTAAAGGTACTTCATAATGATATTAAAGACACATTTTATTACTGATTTATTGCTAATTGTAGTAATTATCATTTATAATAATAATGATTAGTTTAATCTAATTAATTTTAATTAATGAATTAAACTCTCAAAATCAATATTTTTTTGTAACATAAATAAAAACTATATTTTTTTGTATGCTGTTACATAATTATAAACAAAAAGATGAATAATCTCATTAAAAGTATTTATTGCATTGAATAAATAATTGCTTTTATCACAGAATACATGTCGGAAGCAAAGGATATTTTAGCACCTTTTCTTGAATTAGTCAAAGATGGAACATGTCCTGAATGTAAAGCAGTAACTTTTATCAGAACTAAGTATGAAGTTATATTAAATTATTGCACAAATATCTCATTTTGTTTGATGCTGAAAATGAAGGATCTGCCAATAAAAACGCATCCAGTTGTGAAGCGTCTGGAGCAATATCATCAACTGCTCGACGAATTGCAATCGGAGCAGGGAGATTTGTTAGAGCAAGTGACAGAGATACTGAAAGCGGTTAAGGAAGGTCGACCTCTTTATAGCATATCAGATGGTTCTCTAGTACAAAGTAGTAAAAAGATTCCAAGACTTACCAACTTTACTAAGAAGTTGATAGATAAAAGAAAAGCAGTAATGCAAAAAGAGAAGTTATTATCTAATAGTACAGATGAAGAAACAAGCATGGATGAAGATCTAGATACTGAAGAAAAGTACAATGACGAATCTGTAACTGATGAAAAAGATGATACCGTTCTGAATACTGTGAACGAAGAAGATGCCAAGAGAGCGATAACGTATCAAATGGCGAAGAACAGAGGTCTCACTCCTTACCGCAAGAAAGAACTGCGCAATCCGCGAGTGAAGCACAGAAACAAATATCGTAAAGCCATAATTCGCAGAAAGGGCGCGGTACGTATAAAGATTAAATGTTTACTATTGTTACTGACATACACAAGAGCTCTTCGAATATTTTATACGAAATTTTAAAAAATTATTTCTTACAGGTGAGAGAAGTGAGAAAGGAATTGACTCGTTATGCAGGTGAGATCTCGGGTATCAAAGCGGGTGTGAAGAAAGGTATTAAATTAAAATAACTGAATAATTTTATTCAATAAAGACCATGTGAATATTTTTTCGAAATATATGAATATTATATATATATATATAATTCTGTGTTACAATTTAATATTTTCTCATTAATATATAATTTCTAAGATCAATCGTTCCAGTGTCATAAAAATTGGACATTTAAAATTCTATCTGAAAATTATCGATGATAATTAATCGCCATATAATTGTAAAGCGCTCATATTCAAATGATTAATATATGAAATTGTGTACAATAACCAAATAAATGCAATAAGCAAACGTTTTATTTTATCAGAAAAACTTTATGTACAGTAAAAAATAATAGCATTTTAGCAGCAATAGAAAAAAGTAGGTGTTTTTATCAAGTTAAACAAAACTTTTTTAATTACATATGCAAAACTGTGTACATATTTTTTGCTGCTAATTGATGAAATTATAGAAGAATAACTTGTAGCATTTACAAAACTGGAAACTTAAATTCAACGAGTTAAACTTCTACTTTGGCTAATATATCCGACTCGCGGAACAAGTGATATTCCTTATTGTCTTCAAGTTCAACCTTTGTGCCGCCATATTCAGGAAGTAACACAACATCTCCGATCTTAATGCTTAAAGGCACATGTTCTCCTTTCTGATGACAAAGAAAAAGATAATATAATTATTAACAGATAATTTAGAGAACTATTTTTTAAAAATATGAACAAGATATTCTTGTACACACATCGTTTCTCGCTCCAGGGCCTGCGGCCACAACTGTGCCTCGCAAAACTTTTGCTTGAGCTTTCTCTGGCAGTACAATACCACCTTTCGTTTTGGTAATAGCCTCGGCCCTTTGTACAAGGACTCTGTCAAAAAGAGGAATCAGTCTCTTCACAACATTGGCAGCGGCCTGAAAATACATAAATGTTTACAATTAATTACTAATATTATGAATATCTCAACTTCAGGTGTTAATGTCAAGAATGAGATAATTAATCCATTAATTAATCCATCAATTTTGATTTAATTAACTAAATTCATAAAATTTATTACATTTAATTCGACTACACCAACTCGTGTGTAACTTAATCATCTTCAAACTTTTTCATGGATACAAGAGTATTAAAATTTGACAGAAAAAGAAGTGAACGATGACGAAATTCACCAACGGAATTTCTCCTATAGCAAAAGTTAATTAATTCTAACTGAATTAACAACTAATTTTACAAAATTTGTGGTTAAATTTAATTCGACCCTGACTTGTGTGTACTTAACCATCATCTTGAAACTTTTTCGTGAATTTAAGATATTAACAAAATTTGACAAAAAAGAAATTATGATGAAAGTTACAAACGGAATTTCATATAGCAAAAGTTAGAGATACCTGCATATTCGATTACTTCGTGTAGAGATTAAAATTATTACGAATTACCTACGAACAAACGACAAGGATACAATTACAGTCGAGAGATACCGATTATCCTCGTCTATTATCTCGACAAACTTAAACAAATGCAATTCGCCTCGAAGTGATCGGATATACACGACGAGAAACATCTTCCGAATCTGTTTTCGAACGGTGACTTCGGAGATAACACAACATGCGAGTACATAATAAGCGCGAGTAAAAGAAGCGTTGCTGTGCAGATACCAAACTATTTAAGAGTTATCGGAAAATGACCACGGAACAGCGTGTCTCGCGCCACGTGGATTTTTCTCGCGAAGAAGAAGGCATTCTCGCTATCGTTCCTCTTTCTTACAACGATCTACAGAGAACCGTGTATGCAACAATAAATAACTCACCATGATCGCGATCCCTTCACAATCACCGAGTCGGTCAGAGTACGAAACCGGCGACGAACACGCACTCGTGAACTCGTGCGCGTTGTGTAACCTAAATCTGAACCGCGAGGAGCAGCAAGGAGCAGCAGCAGACCGGTAGTGAAGCGGAGCAGTACGCGCATGCGCGCAACGCGATATTCTCGAAAGTTCCTTTCCGCGGTTGCTAACGTCGTCTCTACCCTTCCCTTCCCCCCCGCCCCCCGTTATCGTACATTGATCACGACCATGAAAAAAGGAGCGTTATATAACGCGCGAAGACTCGTGAGAACGTAGCCCGGACTTTGGCGACGTTTACACCGTGCATTTAGTCCGCGGCCTATACAATAGACGTCCTTGTTTATCCTGTATATTAAATAAAGACATCATATAGGTCGCGGACTAAGCGCACGGTGTAAACGTAGCCTTTATTCGGGGAACGTCCTAGGAATATTCTTAGGATGTAGGCATCTTTGAGGATGTACGTCACATCTAAAAACAGTACCAAAAGTATAAAAATTTCAGAATTACTATATAATATACATCCGAACATCTAAAATTTGAGCATAATTCTTTTATCGTTTTAAAGCTGATTTTACAGCTAAATTTGAGCACGATTCTTTTATTGGTTTAATCATTTAATGTAATCTGTAGATTCATTGACAGATAGGTAAATTTTTTGTTTGTTTTTCTTGATTCTTATGTAAAATCGCGTAATACTTGTTTGTAAATTTGGTTTGGTAACATTGGGAATTAAATTTCTTACAGTTTGAGGCTCAAACTTCGGTATAATGGCTTACTGTAGAATTATTCCGCGTGTACTTGCGGTATAATAAAGTTCGTTTACTGCATTCTGAATGAACTTGGTCGAAATTGTAACTTGGAGTAATCGTCTCCACAAACATCTATGCAAAAACGGCATAATGGGAGAAGGAAAAAAAGGTGATCGTCAGCGGCCGGCCGATTGCATCATTTCTATCATGCGGAATTGCGCGGAGTCGCCGTACTTTCTAGAATATTCGCCACGCGATAACTTTGCCGCGTTCGGAAGAACAGTTGTTTACACGAGGCTTCAGGCCACGCGATATGATACGCTACTGAGAGTTACTGTCGCGCATGCGTGAATAATCCCCCTTTCCCCCCGACTCCGATCACCGCATCCATGTGATATCGCACGTTCCTCGTCTCCTCATTCCTGTTCATTCCACTCGTCTTTTATCAGCGAAGACAACGTTCGATCACGCCGTTATCGACTTTCAGCACGCTCGGCTTCCAACACCGATCATCGATCGTCCATCAAAGAATTACCCCAAGGATCGAAGGTGAAGCGATTGAGCCGCGAATCCGTGCCACGTGCTTCTCCGGGAAATTCGAGAAACTTCGCCGGAACGAATTTTTAGCCGGCCGGGTAAAATATCGTTCGCACTCGATCTCTTCGCGATCGTTCGACGGAATATTACTTTCGTTTCTTCGCAAGCAATTTGTGCGAGAGAAAGTATGCGGTTAATCGAACGATTTTTAGTCAGATCCCGCGATAATTTCTGTTAAACATTAACCTTCAATCGCCACGCCACGCGGAACGTTTACATAACCGCGTTCCCGGAGTAACTCATTATTGAGTACTATTGACTTCGGTTATCCGTGATAAATCGCTCTCACGCAACTTATTTAGTGTTCAACGAAACTTGTTTTGTTAAATTGCGAAATGTTTGCATTTACAAGTAACGTCAGAGAAATGTGATGAAAGAACTAAATTTAGAATTTTTATCTCTCATTTCTTATTTGTATTTTATTATCATTCACGAAACACGGCATTGGATGGCACGTGCGTGCTATTAACCATGACGACCTATTAATTGTTTAGAGAAGCCTGTTCTTGTATTTATATTGCATAAAAATCTATATAATATATATAAAATATGTATATAGGATTTTCGTATATATTTTTTTTGTTTGAAATAATGGCAGATGGGGAATATGTGAGAACCCAAAATGTTATTAATGATTGCATCAGAAGTTAGGATTAAGCATATTAGTGAAAAATAAATTATCCTTAATTAACATACATTATGTACTTTTTTTATAGATGCATAGATTACCTACTGTATTGAGAGGAGCTGCTCTGCGTCAGCTGCAGGCACGTACTTATGCCAAAGACGTGCGTTTTGGGGCTGAAGTTCGTGCCTTGATGTTGCAAGGTGTAGATATTTTAGCAGACGCCGTTGCCGTAACAATGGGCCCTAAAGGACGTAACGTTATTCTGGAGCAGAGCTGGGGAAGCCCAAAAATCACAAAGGACGGCGTGACTGTAGCAAAGGGTATTGAATTAAAGGACAAGTTTCAAAATATCGGAGCTAAGTTGGTACAGGATGTAGCTAATAATACCAATGAAGAAGCTGGAGACGGTACTACTACTGCAACCATATTAGCTAGAGCAATAGCCAAAGAAGGATTTGAAAAAATCAGCAAAGGTGCCAATCCCGTAGAAATCAGACGAGGTAAGTGTATCAATTTATACAATAAACGGTTCATGTTTATATCGCTCTCTACTTCAAATGACTATATATACATGCATATATATATATATACATTGTTACTATATACATTATTTTTACTATACATAATATTTTTATGAAATATGAAAATATGAAAATATGAATATTTCTTTATGAGATAACTTTAAACAATTTATGACTTTGTAGGTGTAATGTTAGCAGTAGATAAAGTCAAAGATGAATTGAAAATTCTGAGCAAACCTGTCACAACACCCGAAGAAATCGCTCAAGTGGCAACGATATCCGCTAACGGTGACAAAGCCGTCGGTGACTTGATCTCGGACGCTATGAAGAAGGTCGGGAAGGAAGGTGTGATCACTGTGAAAGATGGCAAAACGCTCATCGACGAACTTGAGGTCATAGAGGGAATGAAGTTTGACAGAGGTTACATTTCTCCATACTTTATCAACTCCAGTAAAGGAGCCAAAATCGAGTTCCAAGACGCGCTCCTTCTCTTTAGCGAGAAAAAGATCTCTTCCGTTCAAAGCATCATACCCGCTTTGGAATTGGCAAACTCACAACGCAAACCTCTTGTCATAATCGCTGAGGATGTGGATGGGGAAGCTTTATCGACCCTTGTTGTTAATCGTTTGAAAATTGGGCTGCAAGTGGCTGCGGTTAAAGCTCCCGGTTTTGGTGACAATAGAAAGGCCACTCTTCAAGATATGGCGATATCCACCGGTGGCATTGTGTTCGGTGATGACGCCAATCTCATCAAATTAGAAGATATTCAGGTATCTATTCAATCTAATAGTAACTTAATTGTATCATTTTATTGTTTTCAAAAAGGATTACTTATTCATATTGTACTCCTCATATCTCATAACTTCAACTTTCCAATAAACCTTTTATAAATTTAGGCATAGGATAAAAGTCAGGATTTGAACTCGAAATCTATCAATTTGTTGAATTTTGTTTTCATACGGAGTCACATTACTCCAGTTAAAATTGATTTCACAAGTAACTTTGATCTTATTTAAGTTTAAAACTTGTAATTTCTAATTTTTCTTAATAATGGAACAATATCTTTTCTATCTAAATAATAAAGTTAAGTAATGACAGGAGCGGGAATCAAACCTGAACTTGTTACTTTATAGGCAACTGCTCTACTACTAAGTTGTCTAGCGCATTCATCGGCCACATTTTAACGAATGTAATACTTTTTTTCTCTAGCAAAGCGACTTGGGTCAGGTGGGAGAAGTCATCATTACAAAGGACGACACTCTCATCTTAAAAGGCAAGGGAAAAAAGATTGATGTCGATAGAAGAGCTGATCAAATCAGGGATCAAATTGAAAACACCACATCCGATTATGAAAAAGAGAAGCTGCAGGAACGTTTGGCAAGGTTAGCGTCAGGCGTCGCCGTCCTGAGAGTTGGCGGAAGCAGTGAGGTGGAAGTTAACGAAAAGAAAGACCGTGTACATGATGCGCTCAACGCCACTCGTGCCGCCGTCGAGGAAGGAATCGTTCCCGGAGGTGAATTTTTATTTTCATCAGCTCGTTTTCACGTAGCTCGCATACATGTTAAATATAACATTATTTTTTTTTACAGGTGGCACCGCATTGTTGAGATGCATACCGATATTACAACAGCTTAAGGCTGTGAACGGTGATCAAGAAACTGGAATAAAGATCGTGGCGAATGCTTTGCGTATGCCATGCTTGCAGATCGCGCAGAACGCCGGTGTTGATGCCAGCGTGGTAGTGGCCAAAGTAAGCGAGGGCAAGCTAGGCTACGATGCCCTTAAGAACGAGTACGTCGATATGATCGAAAAGGGCATCATCGATCCCACGAAAGTCGTACGAACAGCACTTACGGACGCTGCCGGTGTGGCATCGTTGTTGACGACGGCAGAAGCAGTCGTCACCGAGATACCTAAGGAGGAACCTCAACCACCGATGGGTGGTATGGGCGGTATGGGTGGAATGGGTGGAATGGGTGGTATGGGTGGCATGATGTAAAAAGTAAAACACAAAGACTGAGAAAGACAGCCCATGAGTTACACTCTTGTTTGTAATGAAATGCGATTGTACTATGCTACATTGTTTAAAAAACTTTAAACATCAATTTTGTTCAAACGGAATAAAATAGATGTCCGTACTATCTCGTACAATTTGTACTTCGATCGAAACATTACAGGCGATAAAATACCACTCGTGTAGTATGAAGCTATTTTTATGAAAAACCATTTCTACTTATTTTGTTTTACGAATCTGTAATGTTATGAGAATCTATTTATATGAAAAACGCTTGATTTTTTATTTCGTTCAACTTGTACGGTATATACGTAAATATTTCAAATACAAATGCATTTAATAAATAATAATGTAAAAAAATTCACTATGTGAGACGAACTTGTTAACGTGTTTATACAGAATGTAGAATTACGATGAATCGACAATTTCAACCAATTTATAACAATAATAATTCTTGAATTCTATTCATCGCTATATTCCTGATATTCCAGATTTATATTGTTTCATAAATACAATTATAAAAATGAGTAGTTTATTCAACATTTTATACAGTTTTCTAGTTATAATATTCATTAAAGACGCAAATGTAAAAATAAATGTGCGTGTATTAATTGTGGAAGGTTAATTATTTAGGCTTTCATGATTTTGCAATTGTTAAATTTATTTTCCGTCTGAATAAATGTGTGTTAAAATTACAATTTACCTCTCCATGCCATACTTAATAACATTGCTATATAGATTGTGGCAAGTAAGTAAATGATTAATAAGATTGATAAGGATAGAGCGAAAATTTTTATTTAGAATAGATATAAATATGTTATTACATTATATTGTTTGTCCTTTTTAAACAATTATTCAAATTAATATAAATATGCCGAAATAATTTTTAATCACAATATAAGAAATTTACAACTATATTACCATCTTATTCGAGGCCTAGTCCACAGTGATCATCTTAAATATCGATTTATTGACATTTATAATTTCAGAATATACGCTCGTAGAGTTTAAAACTGATATTTTCTGAAACTATAAACATTTAAGAAGATATTCAGGCTGATCAAATCATATCGCGCGCGATTACTTAAAAGAGACAAACGTAATAAAAAAATATTCTTATATTATGCTTTTCTGTTACTTTCCTATATTACATACATGAAAATATCCGTTTAAATTTTTAACATAATTTGTTGTATACATTGTTTTGCTCGATGTACTTTACTGTACATCGAGTGCATTTTGATTATAAGTAAAATTATAGTTGGAAAAAAAATATTCCGCAAGTTTTTCCTTGACAAACGAAGTGAATTTTAATTAATTGAATAGACAGCGTATGCGTGCAGTTAACATATGCAACATAAAAATATTTCCAATTTTGAATCTTATTTCGATCCAATAAAATATACCAAACATGGATGCGAAAGAAAAAAATGTAACACAGTAGAAAAGCGGTTTTGTAGTGTACAGTTATATAGTTGGAAAAGAAATATCTCATTTTATATTCAAAATACAAAGAGAAGTCCGCTTTAAAAAATAGTATATTAAAGCCTAGATATATCCATGATAAAAAGCCATATTAATCTAAGCTCCGATTTTCTCGATTTCATCTGCATCTTCTGCATCGAGATAATGAATCTTCTTGCCAAAGTGTTTTTCTATAGTCCGGCACAATTCCATCGCGTATTCTGAGTCGATTAAATTAATGGCGATGCCTGACTTGCCGAACCGTCCCGTTCTTCCGATTCTGTGTAAGTATGTTTCGCAATCGGCTTGCCGATTTTGATCCATCGGCAAATCGAAATTGACTACTATCGTTACCTGTTCTACATCGATGCCTGTGAAAATAGTAACTTATTATCAACATATTATACTTACTTAAACACAGATAAAAGTTTATGTACCGTATGTATATACATATGTGGTGGTCGTTATCATAATTAATATTCGAAATTTTTTCAGGATATCTTCCTAAAATTATCTTATAAAACACCAGAATTTTTTTCTGACTTTCTGAACAATATTAACTCATACTACCAGGATCTTGAAATTTAATATTGTTTTTAAATCAGCTCTGATTGGCTATTTTTTACGGTACGTTTTATGGAAAGTGTGCGAGGCACTCTTATTATATGCAACAAATCCATAAAGTATAAAAATAGATAAAGTCCTTTCTTTGTATCTACCTCTAGCTAAAACATTTGTAGTGATGAGAACTTTCTCGAGTCCTGCTCTAAATCTATCCAGCACAGAAATTCTTTGCTCTACTGTTAAGTCACCAGATAATATTGCTACCGCATGACCGTCTTTTGTCATTTGTCCTGCCAACCAACTAGCTGTTTTCTTCGTCTAAAAAATAGTGACATATTTTATTATAAAGTTGTCTATAGGATGTAATTAATATTTAATATACAATCAATCTTACATGACAGAAAATAATTGCTTGCCCAATAGTAATCACGCCATAAATATTAGTGATAGCTGTGTATTTTTCGTCTACATTTTTGCATCTAATATAGTATTGCTTGATATTATCTAAACTTTCTTCTTCTCTTAATAGTCGTATTATTAGCGGATTACTGACTATAATCTCAGCAAAGTTCATCACTTCTGGCTCGTATGTTGCAGAGAAGAACATCATTTGACACAAACGTGGCAGTAATCTATTCATGAAATAAATATAGTGTTATAATATTTTGCACAAAATATACAACATATTCGATCACATAAATGTTAAACATCTTGGAAAAATTACTTGTGAATACGGATACACTGATCTTGATGGCCTTGCGTAGCAATCATAACGTCAGCTTCGTCCAATACAAATACCGATATTTTGCTTAGATCGAAGAACTTAAACTTTTGTCCCCAATCCAGCACTTTACCTGGAGTTCCTATAATAATATGCTCACTAATCTTCGAACCACGGCTTACTGAAACAATTACAGCAATATTAATCGTAGAGAATAACTTATTTTAATAGACAATTCAAATTGCACGAGAGAACAATATATTACTTTCTTCTCCTCTTACAGCGTACTTTATTTTTATCTCAGGACAGAAGCGCGACATCTTTGCCGCTACTTCGCCAGTTTGGATCGCTAGTTCGTAAGTTGGCGACAAACAAAGTACCTGTGGATACTCCTTCATAACATCTACCCGGCTCAACATGGCAAGTACAAACGCAGCTGTCTTACCCGTACCAGACTGAGATTGTGCGATCATATTTTGCGGTCTAAAAAAATTTTCATGCAAGTTTGAAAGTTGTCTTTCCTTAAGAAAAATCAAGAATATCAAAAATAAATAATTCTGGTAAATACTTACGGATCAGCGAGTAAAGTAGGTAAAGCAGTTTCTTGAATTCTAGAGGGTGCATTGAATCCCAAAGCATAAACCCCTTTTAGCAAGGCAGGTTTGCTATATGCAAAATAAGAAATATTCGTATTTTTATATATATATATATATATATATTTATATATATATGTCATCATATTAAATTATATCACAATTACTATGCTTTTCAATTGGTGATACAAATCGACACAAGTTTCGTTTTATCTTTGTTACTCACTGAATATTACAAAGAATCATGCTTGTGTCAACTTGTGTGACAAATAGAAAGCATCCAATAGTAGTAATGATTAAAACCGATGAATCTAAATCAATGCTGTTTAAGATCTATAATTTTGGACATATATATATATATTATATATTGGTGTGATGTATATCAGTATTTACATCTATTACTTTCCTTCTTTTTAATAAAGATAAGAAAAAGAATGCAATATACATAGGTATAAACTCTAACATATGTTAAGTCAATACTCAGAATCATAAATATTAGACAGCATTAGTTTTAATCAGATCTCCTTGTAAAAATGAAAGTTAATCAAAATGTATGTGTGTGTGTGTATGTGTGAATATATGCATATAATTATTTACAGATGAAGTGCATCAAAGGTTTTGACACTATATAACGGAGAATTTGGATCTTTTCTTTGAATCTCTATATCCTTCGTTGTTTCCACTAATCCTATCCTTATGATCTTTTGCAGGAGCGACTTCTCTGCTGGTGAGATCTGTTCTTCTGACGTATCGTCATCACTTTTGGAATCTCCATCTTTCACAGATGGAATAGGAATGGACGTCGAGTTCGGTTTATCCAAGTTCAAACTCGTCACCTACACACGAGATATACAATCAATGTACTTGCTACATCAGTTTGACATGATGGTTCCAACTGAAGCTTACATTATTTTCTTTTTTTTTCCAGGCATAGCGTGTTTCAACAAACGAGAAATAGATCAACCGTATACGAGTTACAACAGAAGAAAATAAAAACAAAAATGTTATGAATCTAATGGTGAATTCGATCACTCGCACTACACTAGATCAGTGCATATCAAAAGCTGCTTTGCATAAAATATCTCAATGTAGTGATACAATATAATCAACTTTGACAATGAAACAATACATATATATTTTGTTAAATAACATGACAATATCATTAGTAGATAGTTAATCGTTTAAAATATTTATATATTTTTACATTTAACTTTGTTAATTTCATGTAAAGCAGCTTTTAGTATACACTTATCTAGTGTAGTGCAAGTGACCGAATTCGCTATAAATCATCTAAAAGTGAGTCGTGAGATTGTCAATAGTAGTGATTCCATGTGATTTATGAAATGGATATCGTAAACATCAAAAGAATCACGCTTACACCGTTGTAGCGCATCCGCAACAATCCCATTTTACCTTCGATGCCAATTTATCCTGTTCATCGGCGCACTGTCCCCAGTCGACCTTAGTCGAAGCCATGTCGGTTGACTACTCAATCAATATCTATGATAAAGAATCCGCTATCGAACTAGTTCTTAGGATGAACTTCCAAAACTTAAAAATATATCTGATCGAAAATACTCAAGTACAGAAATCTGTTCAGTATTCACATGCGTTAGCCCAAATCTGAGAGAAACCTGAGAGAGGGCATGAGGGTCCTTTTTCTGTAACCGCAAAATGTCTTGCGCACTAACGCCCTCTGAAGAAGTGGATGTCAACCAACCATACAACAATATCCACTTTTTTGCGATCCTCCTGACGGAAATAAATCGCTGAAATCGCTGAAATAACAAAAATCTATCAAATTAATAGAAATTTCAGTGATTTCAGTGATTTATTTTCATCAGGAGCATCACAAAAAAGATACTGTTTTGTAGTTTATATCCACTTCTTCAGAGGGCAGTAGTGCGCGGGGCATTTTGTGGTTACAGGAAAAAGGCCTG